TTTCTCCTGACCTTCTTAAAGCCCAAAATCTTAAAAATATGGAGGTATGGTTTTAACCCTGCCCTTTGACACAAACTGTGCTTCCACATTTTACGAATGTGACATAATGCAGACATGGCCATAAAACATTGTTATTACATTACAAGATATGAGCTATATTTTGTATGAAAACAATACACAACTTTTGTAATAAATCCTCCAAAGGCAAACTTAACAGTCTGTTAAGCACTTTGAATTGCCTTGTGTTGAAAAGTGCTATATAAATAAACTTGCCTTGCCTTGCCTTTATAGAGATGTTAGGGATCCATCAGACTTCAGAAATAGTTAGTCCTCCTTATTAATGTTGTTGAACGCCGACAGCAGAAATACTTTTTTGAGTAAAAAGTATTAAACCCATCCATATTTTACAGCTGATATTTTTGCCTTAGCTGGCTTTGGAAAAAAATCAGTTTAGGACTGATGTTAATAAGAAAGTTATGAAGTATCAAGGTGGTAAAACAACATTAAAGTTTTTCTTTTGGATCCCAATCAGGAGTTTTAGTTTGGGCTTGGACTAAGATGAACATAGACATGTTTTAAAGGCAATGTTTAAAATGGTGAAAACCACAGTTTTTTACGTGACAATTGTACCCTGTTTCCATGTGTTTTAATAGAATTTCCCACTGCTCACTTAATAAAGCTAATGAAAAAACAATGCTTGTAAAAAGAGCTTAAGATGGCGGCAGGTAGTTGTGGAGTTCAAATGAAAGGTCACAGGCTTCTTGATTTCTAACATATGGCCTTTAATACAATAAACCAACCCATATATTTAAATGTATATGTGACTTTCAGACACCTTCATTATGAAGCACTGAAAAGGGCAAAAAACAATGCAGACAAGTAAAATATATGACATAATACCGCCATAAATATTTAAATAATATTGTTTAATAATTTAAATGTTGTGTAAAGCAATAAAAAGCCTTCCAAATGTTGTTATTGATCAGAGGTCAAAAGAAAACTATGAAACATTATTCCTTTTCAGACTTTTAATTATTTGTGTTATCTCCTATGAGTGGTAAACACCTAGAATTAGTATAAAAAACATTTGAAAAAATAGTATATAAAATATGTACAAGAATAATAAATATAGCGAAGTGAAGTGAATAGTAATACAATAAGGATAGAAAAAAGTAACTATAATAAACATATGTACAAGACACATACACAAATATCAAATACAAACTGAAAAACAACAATAAAAAAGTTGTAAAAAAACAACACAAATATGGACAAGAGAAAAATAATATGCAAAAATGAAAAGATAACGTTACAAAATTCAAGCAGACAGAGAACATGAATGTTGTGGCTATTGCTGAATGCACACTGACCCCTAGTGGATAATATGAAGAAGTGACATAGCACTGCTATCCTGACAAAGCACAGTTTCTTTTTTGTTTTCTTTAAAACCTTTTACAATAGCAATAAGGCCCAAAGTGAATATCAATCTTATCATACATTTTTGGAAATAACGGCACTGTAAGTCCAGCATTGCACACTGCAGTTCATGAGGATGGGTGTGCATTGTGCAAAAACATCCTTCTCAACTCAGTTTTCCAGAAAAAACTAAATTGTGCTTGCAGCCAACTTGGGTTTCTACATCTAAAGCCATGGATGATGTTTCTTCTGGTGTTTAACTCCTAACCTCGAGGCCTTCAGCCTGACAGGCAGTCAATAAAACTAGCAGCTCTCACTAAGGACAGAAACATTCTTTTCCTACTGTTGGGAAGAAGGAACCTGTGAGTAGCTCATACCGGAATTGTTATATTTCAAAGATATTGTCCCACATATTGTGTTGATGGTTATTTCACCCATACATGTTTGACAATTCTTTTTTAAAAAGCTCAAGTTATTACATCTCATCCTTTTAGTAGTTGCAATCTTGATTTTTATGGAACTAAAAGGGACACAAGAGAGTGTAGCAGAGTACAATAATACTTAATTCGACTTATATAAGCGATCAACACGTTATATTTAAGTATCATGAATTGAAAACACACTCTTAAACGTTTAAAGTTATAAGATTAAAAACAAAGCCCAACTGGACAACACCATGTCAGCGGCCTGTCAATCACAAGGTAGCCACGCCCTAAAGCATATCCTGCTTTACCGTCTATTTAAGTCTATGTAGAACCATCAGTTACAAAAAAGAGCACTACACTGGCTACCCGTGGAACTGAGGATCGAATTCAAGGTCTCCGTCCTCACCCACCAGTGTGTCCATGGAACTGCCCCTCCCTACCTCAAGGAACTCCTCACCCCCCATACCTCCTTGCGGACCACCCGCTCCAGCAACTCCAACTTCCTCAAACCCCCCAGGACTGCTCCCAGTCTGTGGAATGCTCTCCCCGACCAAATGAGAGCACCACAGACCGTGGAGGCTTTTAAAAAAGGCCTCAAAACCCATCTCTTCAAAAGAGCCTTTGCCTAGACCTTTTTATCACCCTTTTATTTATTTTGTATTTTGTATTGCTTTTTATTAATTCTACTGTGTTGTGTAATGTTTATTTATACTGTTCATGCTCACTACTTGTAGCACTTCGGGATTTGAAATCAAATATGAAGTGCTTTATAAATGGAACCCATTATTATTATTATTATTATTATTATTAAAGAACCTCATATTGTATTGCAGAAGACTTGGTGCTAGAAATTGAGACCATCAAATAATCAGGAAAATGTTTTCCGGTGATAATAACGTAAGTTTGAAGTATGATCATTTTCTCATAGACTTCTATAAAATTGAAGTTATTTTTGAAACCAGTGGATTCACTCCCTGCCAGCTATATGACAGTTATTAAGTCATTTCTGCTTTTTAGACCTTGAGTACTTTTTGAATAGCAGCAGACATTTCATAAAAGATAAACCTTGGCACATAAATGTAAATCTATCATGGGAAACCTTAGTGAGCCTATGGTAGCACTTTAATGAAACATGGGAAACACCACAAGTGTGCCATAGTATTAAATACATGACATCATTATTGCAATAGGGGGTGCTCAGCTTACACACAGCTCATTACTGCACTGTGGTTGTGTTATCATGTGACTGCAACAACGCTGATTTATATTCATAGAGGTGATTTAATGGATTAGTGGGAGAATCTGTAACATTCTTATGTTTTCATGACTCTGTGAACAGGAGATGCATTGACCAATACTCATACTGTAATTCATGGTGGTATAGTTCAGAAAAAAAGTGGCTTTGCTGGAAATATAAAAAGATCAGAAGGACTTAAAATGACATAAAGGGGAAGAAGAGCAGCGTGTGGAGGTCTGTATGTAGTTACCGATGACATCTGTTTTTTTCTTGCTTTTTTGAACATCACCATACAGTAACCAAAGCAGAAGTACATGCCCTTAACTTGAAACATATTAATGCAAAACCTTCAAATCTAAAGGCACACGCCGTTTTCAGGCAATTCCACAGTGCAAACATAAAAAAACCTGAATCTGATAAGAGGGAACTTCTGTTTCGTATTTAACTATTTCTCTTTTGATTTTCCAAAAGAAAAAGAAGAAGCCATGTGTATCTACTTTGCCTACGGTTAAGAACAGATATTTTTAGTCATACAACTGAAACTATTCAGTCACACACATATCAAACAGGGAGGTATCATACATACATTATTTCACACAAATGACAACAGGGCGCCATCTTGTTGAAAGTAAAAACTATCCACCAGGGAACAGAAAATCTGGTTTTGGTTAAAAGGGAACGTGGGAACCAATACATTTTTATGGGAGTTCTTAAAGGGAATAATTTATGTTAAATAGTTTTACTCTACTGTCTCACTGCTCATATGACATCAAGTATGACTTGAACCAGAGAAAGGGAATTTGTGTGGGAAAGTCTTCCTTTATCTCAAACAATTCATTGTCAAAACAATCCAAACTTTCAGCAGGGTTTTAGCAGTTTCACAAGCAGTTTATTTACAAAATGTGGTACTCTAGGTCAGCCTGACCTGGATGCTGCTAGCAAGGATCCAGGATTATAACGTTTCTGTAGAAATCTGCTAGCGGCACTAAGTTGTTTAGACTCTAGGGATAGCAATGTCAGTCTGACACCCAGATGGTCTGCTAATGTGGACCAGTCTGAAAAATCTCAGCCACTACTGAAGGATTTGTCCTGAAATATTTTACAGACTTTGTTTGTTCTCTGAAAATGAATCCAAATGATTTTGATTACCCCCTGACTTTTCATTTAGCGCAAGCAGCAATTTGACAATTGTGGTTTTGAGCCAAAATATCTCCACAAATGTGTAGATTATCATGTCCCCTTCTTTATTATCCATTATTAGTTTATATATTTAATAATCCATTTAAATGCTATCTTTAGGTCAAACTTCAAATGTTTCCAATGCAAAATTAATGACATTACAATTTAACTTAGATGTAGCCTACTTTGTGTTCAGTGTTAGTTAGCTACACTTGAAGATTAAACCCGCGAACAGTACCGTTAGCATGTTAGCATCGTCATTGTAAGCGTCTTAGCACTTCGCTGAAAGCACTGCTGTGACTAGTAACAGCCTCACAGCTTGCTAGAAAAAACATTTTTTATTTTTTTTTTATTACCTAACAAAGTAAAAATGTGATTAAAGAAAATCAAAATAGTCAACAAATTATTTGTTTTAAATACAATGTGGCTCAAAGTATTTTTATAATGTACACAATATTTATCACAACTGACTTGTAGAATGAACCCTTACTACCTTGTTACAACCATTAACACATTTAAAGGAATTGTTTATAGTTAATATGATGCTGTTAGCTTAGCATAGCATACATATTGGAAAACAGGAACACACAGCTAGCCTTATTGGCCAAAATTGGAAATGAGTTTCTTTCCAACTAAACTTATGATCATCACAGTTATGTCGCCTCTTACAATACAATACATTAAAGACAAATGATTTCAAACACTGATGAACAGATGAAAATGAAAATAAACACAGGAAAAGGTATGTAGGACTGCTTTTTTTATTTTGTTTTTCACATACATAAAACCATAGGTGCACCGTAGCAAAAAAAAAACCTTGTATTTACAAAAAATAAATCAATATACACAAAATTATAATACAGCAAAAGAGAAAATCCTTCAGTAATCCTTACAAGATAGTACGAACAAAACTTAGATTTTGACATCTTGTGAAGTTTTTGTGCAGATACTTTTTTTTCTTACAAGGAGAAAGTCTGTGTATTTTTACAAAACTGATGCACATCAAATATGCACGCTGCGGCCAATATTCTCTCAACGTACAAAAACTGATTCAAGCATGAAACCTTGTTTTACACCGTTAAGGACTTTCAGTGCATTCAATTAAGCTATTTAACACTAATTACAAAAGTAAATCTGTCTTTGGAGATTTTCTTCAGCAAAGCAAACTCATGGTGTGTGATGTCCAATTAAAGTTGGTCATTTAACTGAATTAACATAGGATGATCTAAACTGTTGTAGTGTAATGCACTGACATTATTTCCTAAAGTCTGAGGCGGAGGACTCAGTAAGCATCTTGGAACAAAATACAGATGTAGAACAGTGACAGAATCCTCCTGAGAACTGTTAACAGTCTCAAACTTGAACAAGTAATGCTTAGAACATATTTAACAAAAGTTCAACTGCCCGGCTCCATCACAGTTTATCAGAGCAGCAAATTCAGTTTCAGCCCCGGAGGTCTCTTATAAACAGCAGGTTTGCAAATCAACACCAAGAACATGGAGATGGTGGTTATGTCATATTTTCTTTGGATTATTGAGCCAATTTCTGTCCAACATTGAGGTTCTAAAGTAAAGAATAATAAATTAGAACAATCACAAAGCACTAAATTGCTGACCTGAAAAGAATGATTCTTTATACACCATTTAATCTTCAGTTGTTTTGACATTTTAGGAAGAATTTTTTGAGTATTAAAGCATGGTCTAGATTTAGATCTGAGATGAGAGAACCTCACTTTGTCATCACTGCCCATCGTTATACAATCAAAAATATTGCCCTTAAAACATGTCTAAAAAGGTGTTTTTTTTGTATATGGTTAGCGGCAAAAAAAGGTTGCGTCTACTATCCAAATATGACTTTTGGGGATTTATGTCGGACATCAACTGTCACTTACAGTTTATGATCTCATAGAGCGTCCTGAAAGTGCACTGCAAAGGAAATGGTGGAAAAACCATCTAAACAGCTGAAACGGCTCCCTGACAGATTTGAATACCCTGGTACTGCCTAATAGTGAGTTCACTGTTAAAGAAAATAACAAGTCAACAACTAATATGTTGAAAATATAAACACATGCAAACCTGTCCCAAATTGTATAATAAAATGCTCAGGGCTGGTATATTTAGAAAGGTGTTAAGAGTCTGGTGGTAAACAGGGTTCTGGAGAGGAAACCCATCGTGTGCTGAGCTGTTGGTCCAAAGTGGTTTTTTCCTGCTGATGTTCCCAAACTTTAGGGAACCTCAGGACTCAAGGATCTGCAATGAATTATTACCATCGGAACAATATAGACTTTGCTGCTTGACATTTTTGTATTGGTTCTGTAGACACCAGTGATTGTTACTTTAATCAATTTGAGAGCCAAGAAGTGGGAGAGAAAAATATTCAAAAAATATCTGTTTTGCCGATATCAGCTAGTTTGATGATCAGTCTTTATGTAAAACGTTATTAAAAACTTTTCTGTGCACTCCAAGCTGGGATAATTGGTAAAATAAATAATTTTTTTATGCCGACACTTATATTCTTGCACATGTGTTCATATGTTCAGTGTGTGTCTTTTTATCCCAGGAGCAGCCCCGACAGGGCGTTCAGGTCTCTCATGTACGGGTTGTCGCTGAGCATGCGGTCGATGCGTTGCTTCTGGTCGGGGAAGATGTCGTAAAGCTTTGTCTTCAGCACCGACGTCTCCCCTGGCGACCGCTGGGGAGGCGGGGAGGGCGAGGGCGAGGGGGAACGGCGGGGCGGGAGCCACTCGGGTGGGCCGCAGCCGGGCCAGTGCGTCGTCAGAGAGGAAGGGGTTAGCGGCGTGGAGGCAGGGGTCCGAGGAGCCGAGTGGAGGGCCTGGACGTAGAGCGGCAGCTGCTGCTGGGACGACGGCCGGAAGCATGGGGGTCTCATAGGGGGAGGAGTGGGCGGGGCCCTCCTGACAGGAAGAGAGAAAATGAGAGGGGGAGAGTGTGAAAGGTGCAACAGCCCATTCACTGCAACACAAGCCCAAATAAAGATACCGATTTAAAAATAATTGTATGGATTCAAAAAGGATTGTTTTGCTTCTTCTTCAAAAAAGTAGTCCATTCCTTGTGTGCCAACGGCTGGAGCTGTGGTGACAGCAACGTAACCTCAAAATGATGGCAGCACCGAGCGAGGTTTTCTGTAACTGTCCAGGTGTGTTCACATTGATTTTCCATAAAAGCAGTCTTTAAACACTTCCAGAGCCAATACCGTGTTCCCTTAAGTGTTTACTTCCTGTCTGTCTTCTTCTTCTGCTGCTGCTGATTTATCTGTACTCCAGCTTTCTGTGTGTCTACCTCGTTTCTTTCCTTGTACTGTTTTCATGTTTTTGTTCTCCTTTATTTTTTACTGGGGACAGTTTAGTCAGAATGAATCCCAAGTTTGTTGCTCTCCACAAATATAAAAAAATAACATTCAACAAGTATTCCATGGGGTTTTCTTATTTACGAAGACAGATGTGTTTGTTTTGCCAACGGCTGCCATTAAATTGACCGGACTTCTTTCTGCGTTTTGATATGACTGCACATAGTCCCTTGATCAGAGCGTTGTTAGTAACGCTCTGCTATTGAAAGAGAGCAGACTGCTGAACGTCTTAATTGACCAATCAGAATTGAGTATTCCCCTAAGCTTAGCAAGTATAGTCTTTATTTAATATAAGTGTTTCAACGAGACTACAACCACGTATTTGTTAAGGTTTTGGCTAACGATAGACACATCTGTGGATAAAACATACCTGTTGTCTTTACGCAGGAAGAAGTCTAGATGCGGTCCGTTTCTCCCCAGAGGGTCATCAGGGATCATGAAGTGGTCCTCCACAAAAGTAAACTGAAGCAACCTATCAGTGAAAGAAAAAATAATATCACTATTTGATAAAGTGAAGTATGATTTTTATCTGCCAGGCTTCAGGTGTAGGCGCTACAGAGTTAACATTTGTAATCCAGCTGGCAGTGTGGACTTTCCAGTGGCAAGTTGGGTAATGGAAACGTAATGACTGACTGAACTGTGATACGTCATTAACAGTCACCTCTCTTGAATGATCTTGCGCCAGGTGTCCGAGGTGTCGACAAAGTCCCTCAGGTTGTCATTGGTTACGATGATCCCGTCTGTTTTTTCTGCTAGGTGGAGCAGGAACCTATCAAAGAGAGAGGAAGTATGGATTAGACACTCGGGAGTTTCCCTGCGGTCAAAGGTCAGAAGCTGGTGAATTCACAGGGAAATACACACCTAAAGTGATGATCAAAATCTGGCTTTACCAGAATGACAACATTAAAAATATCTATTAAATCATAAAACACCACTTATTTTACATAAGATCGGTTGGCTCTGTCCTCTAGTAGTCAGCTTCATCATCCCCGTTTGAAAATACATTATGACTGTAGTTGTTGATGGGTGGGGTGAGAGTCAAGGAAACATAATGTTGGATTTTTGCGTAGGGGACGAGGAGATAAGTTCATAATGGAACTGAAACGCCCAGAGATAAGCGAGCGGTTCGATCCCGGCTCTTTTACGTCTCTGCTATACACCTCCATCTCTTGTGTGTGTGTTGTTTTAGCCGTCTGGAGGACTCTCTCCTCAAAGGTTAAAGGCTGTGTGTGTACCTGTCGTCATGTGAGGATATCCTCTGGCCACACACCTCTCTGGAGGGAGTGAAGGAGAGCAGTCGCAGGTCTTCTAGCTGGTTTAGAAAGTGTTGCTCTGCAAAATAAATGTGTTAGATTTATACTACAAAATAATAGAAATGGAAAAGCAAGAAAACACAGAGAAATAGATCCTGCACGCTCAAACATGCAGGTATATACAGTGGGGCAAAAAAGTATTTAGTCAGCCACCAATTGTGCAAGTTCTCCACTTAAAAAGATGAGAGGCCTGTAATTTTCATCCTAGGTACACTTCAACTATGAAAAAATATATATATATTATATATATGTTATATACCCTTTGTTGGCAATGACAGAGGTCAAACGTTTTCTGTAAGTCTTCACAAGGTTTTCACACACTGTTGCTGGTATTTTGGCCCATTCCTCCATGCAGATCTCCTCTAGAGCAGTGATGTTTTGGGGCTGTCGCTGGGCAACACAGACTTTCAACTCCCTCCAAAGATGTTCTATGGGGTTGAGATCTGGAGACTGGCTAGGCCACTCCAGGACCTTGAAATGCTTCTTACGAAGCCACTCCTTCGTTGCCCAGGCGGTGTGTTTGGGATCATTGTCATGCTGAAAGACCCAGCCACGTTTCATCTTCAATGCCTTTGCTGATGGAAGGAGGTTGTCACTCAAAATCTCACGATACATGGCCCCATTCATTCTTTCCTTTACACGGATCAGTCGTCCTGGTCCCTTTGCAGAAAAACAGCCCCAAAGCATGATGTTTCCACCCCCATGTTTCACAGTAGGTATGGTGTTCTTTGGATGCAACTCAGCATTCTTTCTCCTCCAAACACGTCTAGTTGAGTTTTTACCAAAAAGTTCTATTTTGGTTTCATCTGACCATATGACATTCTCCCAATCCTCTTCTGGATCATCTAAATGCTCTCTAGCAAACTTCAGACGGGCCTGGACATGTACTGGCTTAAGCAGGGGGACACGTCTGGCACTGCAGGATTTGAGTCCCTGGCGGCATAGTGTGTTACTGATGGTAGCCTTTGTTACTTTGGTCCCAGCTCTCTGCAGGTCATTGACCTGTGTGGTTCTGGGATTTTTGCTCACCGTTCTTGTGATCATTTTGACCCCATGGGGTGAGATCTTGCGTGGAGCCCCAGATCGAGGGAGATTATCAGTGGTCTTGTATGTCTTCCATTTTCTAATAATTGCTCCCACAGTTGATTTCTTCACACCAAGCTGCTTACCTATTGCAGATTCAGTCTTCCCAGCCTCGTGCAGGTCTACAATTTTGTTTCTGGTGTCCTTTGACAGCTCTTTGGTCTTGGCCATAGTGGAGTTTGGAGTGTGACTGTTTGGGGTTGTGGACAGGTGTCTTTTATACTGATAACGAGTTCAAACAGGTGCCATTAATACAGTTAACAAGTGGAGGACAGAGGAGGCTCTTAAAGAAGAAGTTACAGGTCTGTGAGAGCCAGAAATCTTGTTTGTTTGTAGGTGACCAAATACTTATTTTACCGAAGAATTGACCAATTAATTCATTAAAAATAAAAAAAATGTGATTTCCTGGATTCTTTCCCCCCATTCTGTCTCTCATAGTTGAAGTGTACCTAGGATGAAAATTACAGGCCTCTCTCATCTTTTTAAGTGGGAGAACTTGCACAATTGGTGGCTGACTAACTACTTTTTTGCCCCACTGTAGATCGTTTAAAAAAGCATTTGTAGATTATTTTTTACCAGGAGGCCTGATATGAAAGCATATTAAAATGACATTATATTACTTTAACAATCATTTTGAAATGGTTATAGTGTTGACATCAGTTACATGGTATTTAAAAATGTCTATAATATTATTTTATTTAACTTAAACAACCTTAAAAGCTGAAAGTCAACACTTTTACATTCGGTTTCTTTATTCGACAGATGACAGTGTATAAATGAGGGAGAGAGAACGAGAAGGGGAATGTGATATTCAACCAAGGACCTCGAGGCCAGAATGGAACCAGGATCATTATTGTTACATAGCAACCACACAGCTGAGAGTCTGCCCTGTGTACCTGTTGTGAGTCGGTCCCTCTTCTGACGCCACTGGGGGACAAACACTGTGATCTCCCGGTGGCCCCGCCTCCAAAATGTCTCCACAGCCAGCGCTATCCCTCGACAGGAGAAGAACCGATGAAGGCCGTGACTGGAGAGGAGGAGGAAAAGAGAAGCGACACAGTGAGGAGGAGGATGGACACATCAGGAATATGTTTGACAACCACTGAGCACTGTGACTGATAAGCAGCGTCTCCAAGAGTGCCGAGCCCCGCAGTGGAACCTACAATATGCTTAGGAGATGAATAGAAGAAAAAAAAGACATAACTAATGCAAATGACACCATCATGCAAGGTAAATCTAGGATTAAGTAAACTACATGCATGAAATGTAGATTAATATGAAACTAAATGTAAAATAAAATACTGCTTGATGTAATCATTTATAAATATGTGCGTTTAAAAAATAATCAATGAGGAGAAACAAAGCTGTATATTATATCTTAATTTATTTTGAAACACAGTATGTTTTACGATTCCTTTTTAAAAAGGTATTACAAAAACATCTAAAAGAAAACTTAAGTATTAAGGAATCAAAGCCCAGAAAATTGTCACATTTATAATCAAAACAATTAAAAACATATATGTATAAAATAGAAATTCTGTGCTTCTGCGATTAGTAATATTCATAAAGTCTAAAGCCACAGACTACGTTTGCAACAGCAATCTCTGGCCTTGTATCACTAAAGAAATAAAATAATACAATATTTCCAATGAGTTTCATCAAGTTAGGTATACAGATCTAACATTTAAAAGAGCGCATTGGCATAGCTATCGGCTACGAGTTGAGTTGTTTCGGGAAACAAATTGGATTTAAGTTTGTTTTTTGAGTACTGCATTAGCCCACATTGCGAAGCCCTATTTGGATCCGCCCATTCCTATATATACTAAATCATCGCAAAATAAATCACATGTCAACAATTTTCTAACCCATTTCCTCTGGCCTGTTTAAATAGCACCTCTGGGTAAGAAAAAAATCCACACATGGAAATGAACTACAGCGTTAGGCAACAGCAGTGAACCATGTCAAACAGGTTCCAATGGTCTCCCTGGCAACTGAAGTAATGATAAACTGGGCAGTTGTTTTGACAGTGCTCAATACAAAACTCACAGACAAACAAAATGCACATCACACCCTCAGCTGACCCATATTAACGGTGTTGACGTGCACAGTCTGTGCTCGCACGTCAGACAGCTGTAATACAACAAATGGGTCGGACAGAAAACCACAAAACAAAAAATAAACAGAAACAGAGATGAGAAACTCCCCAAGAGCAGCCAGCAGGAAGCAGGAAGCTGCAGCGAGCCGCACGCTGCTGACGTCCTCGCAGAGTTTTTAAACTCGGTTTAAACATATACACTGAACAAAAATATAAATGCAACACTTTTGTTTTTGCTCCCATTTTTCATGAGATGAACTCAAAGATCTAAAACATTTTCTATATACACAAAATAACCATTTCTCTCAAATATTGTTCACAAATCTGAAAAAAATCTGTGATAGTGAGCACTTCTCCTTTGCCGAGATAATCCATCCCACCTCACAGGTGTGGCATATCAAGATGCTGATTAGACGGCATGATTGTTGCACAGGTGTGCCTTAGGCTGGCCACAATAAAAGGCCACTCTAAAATGTTCCGTTTTATCACACAGCACAATGCCACAGATGTCGTAGGTTTTGAGGGAGCGTGCAATTGGCATGCTGACAGCAGGAATGTCCACCAGAGCTGTTGCCCGTGAATTGAATGTTCATTTCTCTACCATAAGCCGTCTCCAAAGGCGTTTCAGAGAATTTGGCAGTACATCCAACCGGCCTCACAACCGCAGACCACGTGTAACCACACCAGCCCAGGACCTCCACATCCAGCATGTTCACCTCCAAGATCGTCTGAGACCAGCCACTCGGACAGCTGCTGCAACAATCGGTTTGCATAACCAAAGAATTTCTGCACAAACTGTCAGAAACCGTCTCAGGGAAGCTCATCTGCATGCTCGTCGTCCTCATCGGGGTCTCGACCTGACTCCGGTTCGACTTGAGTGGGCAAATGCTCACATTCGATGACGTCTGGCACGTTGGAGAGGTGTTCTCTTCACGGATGAATCCCGGTTTTCACTGTTCAGGGCAGATGGCAGACAGCGTGTGTGGCATCGTGTGGGTGAGCGGTTTTCTGATGTCAATGTTGTGAATGGAGTGGCCCATGGTGGTGGTGGGGTTATGGTATGGGCAGGCGTATGTTATGGACGAAGAACACAGGTGCATTTTATTGATGGCATTGTGAATGCACAGAGATACCGTGACGAGATCCTGAGGCCCATTGTTGTGCCATTCATCCACGACCATCACCTCATGTTGCAGCATGATAATGCACGGCCCCATGTTGCAAGGATCTGTACACAATTCCTGGAGGCTGAAAACATCCCAGTTCTTGCATGGCCAGCATACTCACCGGACATGTCACCCATTGAGCATGTTTGGGACGCTCTGGATCGGCGTATACGACAGCGTGTTCCAGTTCCTGCCAATATCCAGCAACTTCCTTTACAGCCATTGAAGAGGAGTGGACCAACATTCCACAGGCCACAATCAACAACCTGATCAACTCTATGCGAAGCAGATGTGTTGCACTGCGTGAGGCAAATGGTGGTCACACCAGATACTGACTGGTTTTTTGACCAGAACCCCCCAATAAAGCAAAACTGCACGTTTCAGAGTGGCCTTTTATTGTGGCCAGCCTAAGGCACACCTGTGCAATAATCATGCTGTCTAATCAGCATCTTGATATGCCACACCTGTGAGGTGGGATGGATTATCTCGGCAAAGGAGAAGTGCTCACTATCACAGATTTTTTCAGATTTGTGAACAATATAAGAGAGAAATGGTTATTTTGTGTATATAGAAAATGTTTTAGATCTTTGAGTTCATCTCATGAAAAATAGGAGCAAAAACAAAAGTGTTGCATTTATATTTTTGTTCAGTGTATATATATATATTATTGCCAATTTGCTGGTCTTAGGTGTGTGTGGTGAAGGAAATGCTGCATAGACTATGCCATAAAAAACGTCCATTGATCATCCACACCGCAAAAACTAAAAGAATGAAATGGCTATTTCTGAAAATAAGCTATTTTCATATTGGGGGAAATCTGCTTGTAAACAGGATCATTTTCAGAGAAAAAGTTTGAATCTGAAATAAGCGTAGCAGAGTTTTTCAACCATTTAGCAGCAGAAAAATGTGTCAACTTTTCTTTAACGGAATACAACTCAAGACTGAATGCAGTCCAACAAGTCAGACTGGTGCTTTAAAGGTCCCATGTCATGGCCATTTCTACTGATCATAATTCCATTGTTGAGGTCTACTAGAATAGATTTAAATTGTGCAATTTTCCAAACTCACATTGGTTTCTCAAACAGCATCTCTGTATAGTATGAGTATTCACTCTCTGTCCTAAACGGCTTGTTGGAGCTCCTGCCCCCCCTCCCTGTGAGCCCAGTGTGCTCTGATTGGTCGAGAAGTTGCGAGGCTCGCTGCTGCTCGGCGAGGAGCGGACAGGTTTCCGGGTCGGCGATACAGCGAGACACAGCAAAACTCATCGTGAGCACACACAAACACTCACAGCCAAAGTAAAAACAATAAGTGTGACTTGATATTGAGTAAGAAAAAGGTTTATAACGCTGTGAGCATGGGTCTGCGGAGAGCATTTCTCCGCCATCCCAACTCGTCTATTACCAGCGTTCAGGGAGCTCTATGCAAGTCAATGGGGACTCCCTGTTAGTTAACCAAGGGATCCTGGTGTGTGAGGTGCTCCGCGGATTGGTCCATTTGAGCCAATCCGGTCATTTGTTGTTGATTTGGGTGTTCACAGGTCACAGAACCCAGGAAGCAAACTATGGAAAAAGAGAAGTCCAACGAGGCGTTCTGGGGCAGCATAGACAGGTCTTCTCTGTGTTAGAGTTTTACTCGCTACAGGGTGTACTTTGAGGGTTTGTGACTCTGCAGACCGTTTACATGCAGAAAAACCTTCATAACACACAAGGGGACGGGTAATAACCGGAAAAGCATGACATGGGCCCTTTAAGATTTGCCTGCAAAAATGTAAATGTCATTATAATCGCAATATGGACTAATACGGGCCACATGTCTGTGAAAAAATACACATAAATAATTGAATAAAGTATTATGGCGCTGCAGGGATATTCCAGTCTAAAAACGTTATTCTACAAACTTAATAAAAATCCTTGTTTGTACCGGTTGTCTTAAGAAATCACAATGATAATCCTCATTATTATTATTCGTTAATCTAATCTCTGCAATATTGTGAATCATATCGCAAGATTAGTAAAAAGGAATCACAGTTATTTTTAAGGATCAAACTGTTGCCTTATGAATGGAGCTTCTCTTGACTCTTCTTCTTTATCATGTCAATCACTTTTTTCTCTGCTAGTAACTTCCCTGTGTAGCGGGCTACTATCGGGACCATCGATGTGGCCTCACGTGAGCTGTGGTGAAGCAGAGACGCACAGCAAGCACATCAATATTTTGCAGTTGTTCAGCAAAGTGACGCAAGTTTGGCCAAAAAAGAAAAATACCCCAAAAGTTTTATGCCGCAAAAACCTTTGCTGACGGTGATAGCAATAAAAAGCATGGTTCCACAATATGGAAATACCATATATGTCTTAATAGGATTTATGTTATAATAGGGACTGAGTATCTTTTTAACATGATTAAGATAATCGTTGAATAATAATCATTGTTTTACTTGTGCCAAACAGGGGTATTTTTTATGAAACCTAAATGTATCCTGGGAGACACTGCCCAGAGAAGGGGATACATAGGGGATATTCACTCACAGATACACTTATAATTTGAAGCCGATAATCAGATAAAAAGGTGTAATAACAGAGTAAGATCGGTGTAATATTTGGGTGTAACAGGGATTTAACATGGTGTATCAGGTGGTATATACTGTAGGGCTGTAACATGGAAGTAACATGGCTGTAATGTGGATGTAGTATAGTGGTAAAATGGGTTCAATAAAGAATGTGTGTAAGATGGATGAATCAAATCAATTTTTTTGAAAAAAAACAAACATGAAATAGTGTCATTTTAGCCTGGATACATCACAACAAATAAATCAATACATTTTCCAAAATATTTTCACGTGCTTGCCAGTGCATGACAGTTAAGTTACGTTTTTTTTATATTTGCACATTTATTACAAATATTGCCGTACTATGACTTTAATATTCCACCACTCCATATTGAGGGCCTAGCTGTAACAGAATGGGAAAACTCATCTATTTAACACTCACTGTCTCTGTACAGTTAACTGATTACAAACGTGTTTTCTGTGACCTGGCATCACAAGCACAAGGTAGAGAGAACACACACACTCCTAGAGTCAGAAACACACACACGTGCTAGAGCATTTTCAGCTTGCGGTCAGAGCCGCAATGCAAATGTAAGGGAAGTTCCCCCCGACTGTTGAAAGAGAAAGTGATAAAGGACACCGCAGCAGGAACAGATTATGCAAGGGGTGAAATCACCTTGGAAACCGGGACATAACCCGATGAGGGAGAACCGCTCTGAGCTCATTGGGATGAGTTTACATGGCCTTATTAGCACTTTAAACCCACACCCTTTAAACATAATCTGAAGCAGTTGTGGCCAAAAAACAAAACAAAACAGGATTTCAAAGCTCTTTAAAGATTGCTTTGTAGGCATCTGTCCTAAATCACCTCATTGATTCCTTAATAGGACATATATCTGTTGCTCTTAATTAGCATTGTCTATTAAAAAAACAATGATGAAATCCTTACGATCATCTGTATGACAAATGTCGAGTCAGAGGCGCTTCTCTGTTAAGGCATACTTCTGGAAAGATATGAGGAAGAGTGGGAGTTACAGAGAACGTGAAAGTTAGTGGTTGAAAAAGCGAGAGGTCAAAACAAGGTCATCTCGGAAGAGGAATGTGGGGACACATAAGCGAAAAAAAAAACACAACAGGTTGCTCTTTATCCTTCCTTTGTTGCACAATTTCTGGATATGACCGAAACTACACATTACTAGAAAGGGCGTTTCTTCCCAAAAACGCCCGTGTACTACACGCCCACTTCTCAAATTGAGTGTTACAGCTGCTTTCGATGAGTAAAACCTTACGGTGTGTGTGGGCTAGGTTTTGGTGCGCCTACACTGTAAGGGATGCGACCCACGCACAGTAACATGTGCTTCATTCAGATTGAGTGTGTGACAGAGTGTGTAACTGGTGATGATGGCGGTGCTGCTGGGAAGGGAGATGGCTTTGTGTGTAAAAAGGAAAAACGTGGTGCATGTACAACAGGTGCGGTATTTGAATCGTCATCACAGGAGATACACTCATACCAGTAAGACATGCTGATTCAAGACGTGAGATTGGTTTTTCACTGATACACTGATGGTATTTTGTCTCTATGATGTTCAGGAACTGTTGGGTGATTCACATAAAAAACATCTCTTAAAAAACCAAATTGTCCCAGTACTGAGAGTAGTTATAGCTTTGTAATAAAGTGCTGGTAAACTCTAGACTACACCTATCTTTATTACACCTATGTCTCAAAAACAATGCACTGCAACTAGTACAAAACAAAACGATGTACGCATTCTAGGGTTGTATTCAACTAGTGAAAATCTTAGACAACTAAAATTCTACCGACACAAAGGAAATAATACTGCACATTAGCTGCACTCTACCTGGTTATCTAAAGCAATTACAACACATCTATCTGCAGCATATACAATTAGTTTATACCTGTTTTTGTAATATACTTTGATGGTTAAAACAGACTCAAAGCTGACCAGAGCTTTCCTGGTATATATATTTATATGATTTTATAAAATAACGCACACTGACATTGAAGCAGTCCCATGGGGACGCAACTGAATTGATACTTCACGTTGGATCAAACTTATTGAAAATTAGCCACTTCTGCTGTGTTAGCATTCAAAGCCTATCAAGAAGTGATGTGCAGGTCAGCGTTTGTTAATACCCACACCCAATGGAGCCAATCAGCACCACGCAATCTGCCAAAATATCCATCAACTACCTGAGCCAAAGTGGGACTGCAACCCTTCAAATCAACCAATGGAAAATAAGGTGTCCCTAAAACACTCTGATCTTCTTCAAAATATTTGCAAAATTGAATACAAAAGTAGCCGCTGTATCTTCCGAGCTGATCTGATAATGTGTGCACTGCAGACACTCAACCAAGAAAAATTCCCAGACCAAAACCGACAATGCTGTCAGACTGACAACCTGTCGAGAAGTGTGGTGGGTTCCAAGATGAGAGAAACTTTAGCAGAACAACCTCAAGAACATAAAGCACTCCTTCGGGTCTCAATCTGCCGCAGGAAAGGGTCTCCTTGGTGTCCATGAAACACAATGAAATATATATCTCTTCAAACTTAATAAGAATAGATGTGTGGATAGCAGTGGTGAACCGTCAGGGCCTTCAAGGTATTCAGAGAATACCCTGGAAAACTCAGATAAAAAAAGAAAATATCGAATTAATTATATAAATACAAGTTAAATAAAATGAATAAATGAGTATTGTATCTGTGTTGTTGATCTGTAATCTTACAGTGTCAAGTTGATTTGTTTGTCCTTCTCGGCCCATGCACTACGCGTTTGAGTGGTTTTGTGTTAGAAAACAAATTCAACCAATCAGATATGTTTCTCGGTCTCTGGGAAGAATATCCTCCAACCAAGGTATTCTATATCCTTGACCCTTGGCCCTTACACTGAATAAGAGCGTACGTGTGGATTGATCATTTCTACAGAAGGTCCAGTTGTGATAGTCACGGTTCGCAACTGGTTGATAGTCAAGTCTATTATAATAAAAGCTTCTCTTATTGTGTGTGCAGACTCACGCCATGGCCACGTTGCTACCGTCGATGATGATGTGTCGCAACTCCTGACACCCCGGCTCGTTCGGCAGCTTCAGAGTGTACGGGGTCCTCAGCGACTGATTGAAGCGAGAAAGGCCCGTCACCGGGGGGGCAGGGGGGTCGTTGGCAGGTGGGGTCCTGGTCCCGAACTCGTGATACCCCGTGTGGCCGATCGTCTGATAGGCTGAGGAGGACGACGGGCGGGGAATGGGCTGAGCTGACTGAGGGGAAAGAACCAAACAAGACTTGTAATGTTACAGAAGGACAAGAGGGTGATTTGAATATCATGTAAATAGGGAAAGAGCTATGATATGGTAAAGACAAAATAAATATTATACTTGACGTAAAATGACACAGCCAAACACGAAGATTTTCTGTACTCTTTACGCGTGTTCATTTAAGTCTGAAGTTTGGTAACACAAATGAAGAACTATCCAACAGAAGATTTGACAGGTGTTATGAAAACCATGTGATTCCTTTTTCCTCTACTGGCTCAGCTGTATGTACGAACACATTTACATATTGTTTAAACTTGTTTTGATGACTCATCAGTTTCATCCAGAGGTAACACTGGTTTCCTTCAAACACAACAGAAAAGATTCACCAATAGGAATGGAAGCTAAAACTGACTAAATGTGAAGTGAGTCGAGTACTTCTTTGTCAAAATCCATGACTTTCCCAGGATAACCCAATTCAATTAACTTTAATAAAAAAACTATTAAAAATGAATACAGTGCAACAGGAGCTTTTGAAACTTACAACCTTAACAATTCTCCAAAAGCGAAAAAACAAACCATACACTTACTAATATTGTGCGTTTGATCTCACAAAAAGTAAACTGCCCGACACTATAAGTCTACTAATTGGTTTAAAAGTCCATTTGCAGTGTATGTGTGCTGGAGGTCTCATGTTTTTACTTCATACTTTTTAATATTGGACCCTGATTGGCTTCGAAACAAGCTTTGATATCACTAATACTTTTTTGGTTAAGGTCTGGTTGAGATAAATAAAAAATAAAAACCTGAAACTTTCCCCCATTAGACGCTCTGCATATATCATTTGGCAAAATGAGGGTGTAAAATCCAATAGAAGTAACAATATTAAAACCCATTGACAGTGAGGTAATACCTACACTGGGGGTGGAGGCTAGAGATGATGTGGTGGCAGCGAGCCACTGCGGCGTGCTGCGCAGCGCCGTCACCGTCTCCACCTTCACCGCTCCTCCCAAAGTCTGTGTCCCCCCCCCTCGACAGGTAGTCCCTCTGTGAGGCAGCCCCCCCTCCCCGCGCCAAGTAGTCTGGTCTGGATCCTGACTGGGTGTCCAGGTGAGGCACAGTCATCATCCGGGACATCCTGCTCTCTGCCGTATTGGTATTGGTGACGATGACGTTGTCATCGTCGATGGTGATGACGTCGTAGTTTCTCGCTCCTCCCTGAGCACTAGAGCTCCTCTTGATAGTGACGGCCTAAAAAGGACATTTTTTATTTTCATTTTTTTAAATGGGAGAAAAACAGCATGCATTGGCAACATTTAAAAATCACTCATAAAGCAAGTTTTGGAACAAATTGGTCGGTATTTTTCCTTATGATCGTCGCAACATTAAATATATCCATGTGGAGTGGGTAAGGGTTAGTGCAGCCTAACCCTTAGGGCAGTGAGGAGTATTTTTGTCGGCTTAATCAGAAGTTGGCCTCTCCCTCGACTACTTAAATGCTTTGTTCAGAAGGATGTCCATATATTGACAACACATTAATAACAGTTTAAGCGTAAATGCAATCCCCAGAAGTAAAAAACTCTATAAACAAAGCTTATTTCAGACATCTTACAAATGTGCATGTTAAAGATGCAGTCCTCAGAATGTGGCTTTAAAATGCATTTAGATGTGTCATGTGAGTTCATATAAGCCCCCACATCCTTTGTTGCAGACTGAAAACCAACCCGTTTCCATTAGAATCAAAAACAAACAAAGGAAGATGCTCACTCTCAATGTTCATGGAAGTTAGAAAGGTTTGGCTAACTCAAACCGATGCAGTAGAACTTACATTTGTTTGGCTTACTGAAACCTACGTACTTAAAGGAGTCTGGCTTTCTGGAGTTTGTATCTTCATGGTCTAATGCACGTATTGCTTTGGGTAGAATTGTTAGCTAAACATAATGTAAAGATATGAGATGAAAATGTGATGGTGCATTTCTTGGTGAGATGAAGGGAATACTTGGTATTAGGTGAAATGTAGCATGCACCAAAGCGACTGTAATGCTCTGTGATCTCAAGCTAGAAACATTGAACAAACATTTCATCTCACTGTCTAAGGGGGTTACAAAGTCAAAGTGAAAAAGAAAAGTGAAACCATTTTTAAGGTTGAAGGGCTGTCACCTGCTGAGTGCTGGTCTCGCTGCCGCTGCACTGCCTCCGGTGCCCCAGCCCGTTGCTGCTGCCTCTGTGCTGCTTTGGCCTGATGTTCTCCTTCGACCTGCCGGGGTCCACCAGCGCTCGGCTCAGCTCCCGGTCCTTCTCTCTGAACCAAGAGGCCAAAGAGGATGATGATGATGATGAGGAGGTGTCAGGAGAGCGCACAGAGTTCAATTGTCTTTCTTTTTCCCCTCCTCTTGACCCCTCTTCATAACGTTTGGTTTCCTCCACAATTTTCTCCAGAACGAGGAAGGTGTCTTCTATTTGACCCGTCTCCTTGACGACACGCTCCACTACTTCCTGCTGGTATCCCATGGTTCTGAAGGAAAATTAGTTTTAACATGGTTTCATTCGGCAGTAACAGAGGTTATTGCAGAATGAGATAGTCTCACATTTAATTCCAAGCTGGGATAAAACTATTCCCACATGCCCCTTTTTGCATTTGCCAGGAGGTTATTTCAGTCTGTCTGTCAGCAGGACGATGGGAAATCTAAAGGTGTTTTTTTTTTAATGAAACTTGTGGAAGGGTGTAGCAAGGCCCAAGAAATAAATCATTGTGAAGGAAACACTGTTACCGGAGTAAATGCACACATTGTTTTTTACGTTTGTAACTTCGCAAGATAGGGCATTCATGTAGTGTTGAAATACTCTTGTTTTTCTTAAAGATTGTTTTTTGGACCAGTTTTAGCCTCTATAAGAGAGAGGGGAGATGGAAGGGATGACATGCATACAGGGTACAGTAGGCCATTTTAGTTCCTGCGTCCGCAACAGCAGGGACTAAGCTAACGCCAGGTAAACAGTGAGCAATGTGCCAATCGAATAATAAAAAGAAAAGTGTTCCCAACTGTGAAAATTCACAGGTAAAACAAAAAAAACACATCTTTGCTCGCAGCAAACCGAAGTCGGAAGAACTACTTGCCAACTCGTGAAATGGAGCTTTCCAAGCAGTTCTTAAATGCAGCATTGGCCTTGGTGGAGGCCTTCACGGTCCAATTACATTTCAGCTGGTGGCTTTTATTGTTCTAGCCATCAATGCTTGCTGTGAAGAAATACCTTCCTAAGTGGTTTTGTTTTTGTTTTGTTTGTCTACCCTCCCTCCCAAATGTAAAGCGTCTTTGGGTTCAAGAAAAGCGCTATAGACATAATTTATTATTATTATTATTAAGTCAGTTCCACAGTTCTTATTTTATGCAGAACTGTTCCATAGATTTTTTTTTCAACCAATTCTAAAATGAGCAGTTAGTTAATGAGAAATTGTATTTCAAAGTTAGTCTTGGTAGTAGAGAATTCACACAGCAAGGATACACAAAGAAAACTACAGAGTCATCAACAGAGGAACAGGCGCGCTAGACTGAAAGCAACACATTCTGATGAAGCCTCAAATTAGCTTCAGGTGATGATTGCAGTAAAAAGATTGGGTATTTGAGCCTTTGGGTTAGGGTTAGGGTTAGGGTTAGGGTTAGGGTTAGGGTTAGGGTTAGGGTTAGGGTTAGGGTTGTTTCATGGAAATCAAACGAGGTAGGTATTTCTTTGCAGTCTGTCTACATATATTTGAGACTATAATAAGGATTGTTTTTATACTGACTATCGTAAACACCTTCTGTAACACACAAGAAAGATCTAAAGCCTTTAGCCCGATACAAAAAAAGTAATCAATCAAAATGTATATCGGAACTCATGTTCTACTCGTCCACAACTACTTATTCAGTTAACAAGTCATTTCTGTCAGGTAATAATAATAATTCATTATGATTCAAAGTATGTTGACCTTTACCTGAAGAAGTTGACTAGGCAGCGGAGGTTGGTTTCCGGGCTCACTGCCTCCCCTTCGTCTGAGATTCCTTCACTGGAGTCCAACATGCTCACACCCACTACAGTGTTTGCTTTCCCTGCAGAGGAGGAGGTGGAGGAAGAGGAGTGGCATGATGAAGCAGAGGGGGTTTTGGACCTACAGCTGCTGCTGCTGCCCCCCCGGCCTTCTCTGTCCCTCTGTCTCTCCCTCTCTCTCTCTCTCGCTCTCTCCGGCGACTCCTCCCTCCGCTCCAGAGAGTATTGTCTCTTTGTGTCCCGATTCTCGCTCTCCGACGAGCGCCGCTTGTGTGAGGACCGGTTCCCGTTGAGCAGGACGGCCTCGGGACCCGCACCTCCTCCTGCCCCTGCTGCTTTACCTCCAAACGCTGCTGCGGACCCTTTCTCCTCGAAGCTGGTGCCCAGGATGCGGTTGGAGAGTTCCGTCACGGGGGTGCTGCTCTGCGAGCGGTCCTGCTCCGCCTCCACCATGCTGGGGTGAAGCGTCTGGTTGAGCTGAGCCTGGGAGAGGAAACGCAAAATCTTAGTTAAGAAAAGTACAGTTATAGTTCCCCTCCAACACTCGCCACGGTCATGATTCATATCCCATTTCCCTGTGGGTTCCACATGGTTCCGCCTACCGAATAAAGAGCTTGTGTTGTACATCTTCTCTTTCACTTATTGACAGAATTATCTGACTAATGTTCTTTTCTTCACTGCCTTTGAATAAAATATGCTGACATAGAATATCTGCTAAATACATAAGAGTAAACCAAAGAAGCTTGTCAAACGTTGTACAATCTACAATGGGGGGGGGTTAGAATTATTTAAAATGTAAGTTAGTTAAGTGTAATCTATTGTCAAACTACATCATGAGATACATTTCTCCTGACTTGTACAAGTTGATAGAACAATATAATATTATCTGTCAAACACACATCTCAAGCTTTGACTTGAGCATGAAGACTTTGACAATATCACCATCTGTGTTATTATAGACTCCATAAAGTAAGTGGCTTTAAATAATTGCTCTTATATGGCTTATTTATTTTGCTAATTTTAAAATCTTACTCTTAAGGGACAATTTCCTGCTTAGTGATCAGATTCTCAGCAGGCAGACGGCGGGGAAAAACACATTTAGAGACGCATACTTCCACATCTATGTGTGAATTAAGAGTTTATTTCTAAAAATTAGAGTTTGTTGTTGGAACAGTGGAAAGGCTTACCTAAAAATGGTGAGTTCATTTTTGTTTCTGTCGAGTTTGAATGAAGTGGGTTTTACAGTTTGCTGTTTGTAATAAATCATTCAAATAGAAATGTATATACTAACCAGGGCAGATGTGGAGGTGGAGGTGGGGCTGTGAGCCAGTCCCAGGAGCTCTTCCTTCAGGGCACTGGGCAGCAGAAGAAGCTCCATAGTGTACTTGTCATCTCTTTCCTCGACGAAGGACTTGAACGCTCGTTTCACTGCCGGCTCTCTGTCACTTGGTAGACTTCGCTTTTCCTGGAAAACACCACAGACACACAGATTTTTTAAAAGAGACTGTACAATTACTAGAGTTACGGACTAGAGTTCTAGACTTGCATTGTAGCATTGTGTATGCCCACAGATGACAAGTGCCCTCACCAGGAATAGTGCTACAAACTGCTGAACCCGGCTCTGCGCCATGACTACGGGTTCCGCCCGGCCCAACAGACGCAGGCGGCCCAGCTCGGGCACCACCACTTCAGCACTGGTGTCCCGGATGAGCCTGTCGAGGAAGAGGCCCCGAGCCCCGGCAAAAATACAGTGCATGTCCACCGGGTATCTCTCTTCTTTTTGTAGTTCTGGGTCACAGAGTCCTCGAACATATTCCTGCCAAAACAAGTAGAAAAAAAACATTGATAAGATTGTATTATTTGTATTATGACCGTACACCTTTTTTTTTTGGAGAACAAAATTCCCATTTGCTTTTTAAAAAGGATTTGGTAGAAACTACAAGGTAAACTGGGATCTCAAGTCATAAAATGCAAAGATTTTTAGTGACAACTGCTTCTAAATATCTAGAATTTCTGCAAAAGTCCAAATAAAGCACAGAAAAATTAAATATAAACATAATCTTTACTGAGCTAGAGTCAAAATGTCCTTCTTCGTTCATGAGTCTACACCGGTGCGTCACTGTAGAGAAGCAGCACAGACACGTGCTGAAACTAAACACTTGTCGGTGATTCAGGGAATCTCCTGGCTCTGGGAAAGGTCCGGATGAATTAGCTGCAGGTGGGCGCTGTAACTTCCTTACGGATACTGTGTCAGAGTTCTTAAGCGTTAAGTATAAAAGCTGATACTGAGAATGTAAAATGACTCAACAATGACACAGCGGGGCAGAAAGAGAACCAGCTTACAAATATTAGGGTGAGGCTTCCAGCATCAAACAATAGATAAGATGAGATGGGACTTCCAGTAGGTATGACGCTTTGCCAAATTATAATAATAACTTGAATTGATATAGCGCCTTTCATAACCTCAAGGTCACTTTACAAAGAAACATACAAGGACAAGACATCAAAAACATAAAACAGGGGGCAGAAATGGAAATTAGCTGCTGGCACTTAAACTTGAAATACAATTACAAATAAAAACATGGCATCAAGTTTACATTATTAGAAGGAAACTCTGCTTGTGTTAGATTGTTGTGATGTTTAATAACACAATATCTTTGAGTTAGGGTTGCTTGGTCCCCATGCAGAGGACCGGGTTAGAACCCGGCCTGGGACCATTTGGACACTGGTTGCCCAAAACCATTTTCACCATTTATTACGATGTATATTAAAAGGAGTGGCTGCGCTTTAGCTTAGGTTATGCTTAAAACCATCAAACCAAAGTAATTGTACAGAACTCTCCCTCTGTGTAGTCAAAGCCTAATTACACTAAAAATGAAACAATGACATAATAAGTGCAAACTATTTGACTGTAAGCTATGATTCAATTTATAAACTAAATACAGAAAGTTACAAATTGTTTGGCACCCTCTGGAAGTCAAGGAGACAGCAAGTCATTGCTAACTCTGTTCAAATCTATTTAAAACTGCGGCAGAAAGACAAAATAATAAATGGTGATATTTCCAATCACGTGCAGGATTTTTTGTGTGGTTAAAATGAGATGCAAACTGGTGAAACCACATTGCAAGAAAGCTTATTATGGGAAAAATGGCAGTGATTTCCCAACTAGAGGAGCACCAACATACCTTGGTATTCTTAGGCAGGAAGCCATTTATGACTCGGGTGGCATTCTTACAATAAATGGACTATTTCCAAATGACATTCTCAGTTGAATGGCAGAGCTTGGAACAGCTGGGTACAGTGGGGAGCAACTTATGCACTAAAATAATATTCACGACACAAGATGAAGTAGGGCTGCTCGATTATGGCAAAAATCATAATCTCGATTATTTGGGTCAATAATTGATATCACGATTATTAAAAACGATTATTCATTTACTTTGAAAACATACATTTATTCAAAAAAAATGGAACAGTATGTTTTTAACAGTTGATTACCCTGAACTTTAAGTATAATTCAACTGTAAATAAAAAAAAAAATAATAATAATAATAATAATAGAAAAAAAAAAAAAATCGTTTTATTTCGATTACGTTTTCGTAATCGTTGCAAGCCAAAATCGTAATTGCGATTAAAATACGATTAATTGAGCAGCCCTAAAATGAAGTGGGACTGATGCTCTTAGCATAAATAAATGCTACCAATGCTAACAGCTTTTTTGCATGTGTAAGTAGTGTATAATATCTGAATGCAACTGAGACCAGGACACCTTTCAAATTGATTATTGTTCACCACATTTTTAGATGTTTTAAATCCAAGCCCTTTTAATTGTAATGGTTATCGTGAAATAAACAAATGCAAATAAATAATTTTCATGAGGATTTGATAGTTTCTTTAGACAAATCAAATGAAGTGTTTAATGCACCAATGAGAACATGATGGAATAGGGCTATACATGACTACATCATAGATGGCTACTGCAATCCCAGGTTCATACTAAGGTGTCATCTGCGATTCCACAGTAAATAGGCAACAGCTAAACTTCCCAGGAAATACCCAGGAGTCAATCTCCAATGAGGTGTTGAAATATTGATTTAGAAATAATGGTTGCCTAACTGACATTATCTTAATAAACTGCCCTTGATATCTGCATCCTCAATCTAAGAGGAATTATACTGTGAAATAAATGTATTTTTGTAATATCTGTGAACATAGGCCTACCCCCAACAACATGGTGACATACATTTCCGAAAATGCTGAAATGTTATTCTGAAGGACAAAGACATTATGTTTGTTTCCCAGAGAGAGAACACAACTCAACTATTTCACTGTCTAACTTTTGTCAGTTTATTGTTGCTTGACATTTATATTGTGGCAAACACTACGCAGTAAATATCAATACACATATTTTGGAAACTGAACTGGTATATGTGACCTTGTTCTTGACATCATCAGGGGGCTTATTTCGCAAGGCGACAACACAATGACGAAATCAAATGTCATGATATTCTTGACTGGACACCACAATATCAATAATGTGGTAACTGTAACATAATGGTAAATATGACTACCTATGAGTACTTTTCATAGAATATGTATCTACATTTAGGAGTGGGTGAGATTATAGGCCACATCTAATGACTGTTAATATGACATCCATTACCAGTTCTGACTTTATACAAGTACCATTTAGTCTAGATGGAAATATTTCCATCTAGACTACTTTGCTGGTGTGTGCCGAACAGCAGAGACAGGTGCCAATCCCCGGACACCGAGAGAGACACCTGCGCATCAGCGACAACCGAGCCTGGTTGATATTCGGTATTTTCTTTGATAAACACAACTCGTTTCCACATTGGTCTCTTAACTTATCGATACAAAAAACGAAGCGAAACAGTCTAACAGGACCTCACCTTTGCCTTCGACACGTCGTCTGTGTTTCCTATGAGCTGCAGCCATATCTGCCGTGATGTTTTGCTACCGAGCGGCAGTCCCGTGTGGTCCAAAAGACCGATAATGGTGAATGTTACTTTAAAAACCTGCTCCACTCGAGGCTTGGCAGCTTTCAGCTCATTTTCTTTCTCCTCCAGCACCGTAAACTCGTCCACGGTGGGGGTCTCGAGCTGCTGCCTCGCGGCGGCCGCAGGGAGCCTGCTGCTCGGCTGCTCCTGGCACATTAGCTCGGTGACTCGCCTCATCCCGAGGAGGGGCCGCGTTGTTGACATTCCGAATCTCAGTCTGCCCGTCGCTCCCGACAACGACGTCTTAATATACAAACCTCTCGGTGATGTAAGGAGCCTTTGGCGTTTTCATGGTCTCTTTTGGTGTTTACTCCAGAGCAACAAGGCGACGTTAACAGTGTCTAACGACATGAACACAGAGGTAGAGCTAGCTTGATAACTCGGAAGCCCCGAGTGACGTATCCGGAAAGTCCCAGTGACTGCGTCATCAAAACACGACAGTTCAGTGGCCGAGATGTTTATCTGCAGTGCTTAATGAACAAGTACTCGGATATTTAATTTAAGTCACTAACCGTAGCAATACCACAGGCACAGCGAAGAAAGACTCAAGTGCTACAAGCATCATGCTATTTAAAATGCTACTTGAGTAAGAGTACAAAATGGCACCTGCAGATATACCAAAAGTAGCAGTAGGCCTACTAATTTCGCTCAATAGCCCATTTCAGAGTAATGTAGGTAGGCTATATTAGATTATTGCGACACATTGCAGGATAGCTTGTGAATACTCTTCTGATATTTCATAGTTTAATTGTTGAATTTATTTTTGTATTATTAATCTGAATCTGGAAATTAATAGTAACTAAAGTTATCAAAATAATGTAGTAGTGTACAGTGTTTAACATTTGTCTCTAAAATGGTAGTATAGTGAAAGTAGGCATATAAAGTAGCAAGCTCTACTAAATGTACTTTCCACTGTTGCATCCTAATGTGTTGTGAAAACAAATGCACAGTGACCTACATTTTTATGACATCAACAACATAGATAAAGATCTTGAAAAATGAGAATAGTAGTATAGTACCAGCATCTGTGTTGACAGTGTCCTTGTTTAAAATAACAATAAAGCTGCTAAGTTAGATAAGATCAGTGCACATAGCGTGGGCAACTATCACAGGAATACAAATGATGTAAGTAACAGAACAGGATTTGTTTTAAATATAACTTGAGAGTTTGCATCCGTCAAATATCTGCAAAAGTAGGTAATTCAATTTCTGTGTCATGTCTTGTAGAGTGACTCTGTCCAAATGTAATTTGATATGCTGTTATATTTTAAGTTATAAAACAGATAGACATTCTAATTAAATTGTGTTTAACCAATAAATGTAAACAAACACAATTTATGTATCTTTACTACACATTGGTTGACTACTTTTGATCTTAAAATTACATGAAAGCAAGGCAGGCTTTCATTGTGGGGAGAGCAATAAGCTTAATTGGTGCCTCACAAGATGTTTGCCTAATAAGGATATTGAAAATAGCTATTTACCCAATGTGTCAATCATTCTGAAGAAAGGGCTATGTTTGGTACATGGGTTTGCTGTTTGTCCATTTCTTCAATTACAGTATTTCACGACAAAAGTGACCATTTCCTACAGATAAAAGGATAAGTTACGGCATACATAAGGCATGAGAAGGAAAACTGCAACAACAAAGACTCCATACATCAGAGCAAAATGTCCTTAGATCCGGTAAGGATGAGCAAAAAAGGACTTCACCACAAAGGAGGACAGAATATGTTGGAGGACTAAATTGGACATTGACTGGTAGTATGTACTTAATGAGACACTACATAGTCAATATTTGGCTTACCATGTTTTAAAAGGAAGGTGATAGATCAAATAAAAGAGAAAACTGTGCATTTGCAGCCTTAAGATTGAAAAAAAGATAACACACATTACGTTTTTCTTATCTGCAAAGAGTGTTAGTGCCAATATTCAAATGGAAACATTTCTTCCATGAATTAAGTTTAATTTTGAGAATTAAATTGAATCACCATATTGACAATAACATCTTAAATCTGTTGAGAATAAAATCGAAAATGTATCAAGCATTTACCGAACGTTCGACTTTATTCTTCCCATTTATTTTCAACGTTTACATTTTATTCTCAAAGTTGAATAAGGGATTATGCCAATAAAGAGTGTTATATTATGTACATTTCCACTTTTGTCTGTGAGTTAATGTGATATACAGGTGTTTAAAGAGGGTTTGGAATATTAATGGCACAAGAGACACCTCAAAAAACATGATATTAATTATTCACACTTATTCTCACATGTATAGTCTTTGATGGTAACTTCTTGTAACACTTCTGAATGAAGTACAAAGGAAAGAAGCATGAACGAGATTGAAACTGTATAGCCATACTGATGACATTGTATTTAGAGGTGCACAGTATCAATTGCACAATAATGCCTCTAACAAGCAAAAATAAATACAGAGGTAATTTTAATCTAACCACTGAGTAGACTGCAGTAGCCCCAACATATTTAATGCTTAATTTAATCGTGGTTAAATAAGGATCTTGGTTTACAGATGCTTTATGTGGTCTGGAATCAAATTCCAAATCACACAATATTTTGTAAAAAAGGTAAGAATACGACCAAATGGACGTTTGAATAATGTAATTGTTATTTTTGGCGAGTCAAAACATTTCCAAAAGTACTTTACATTTTGTATCTAAATTATACTTTTTTGATAAAATGATTATTTTTGAAGAGGAAAACTTCAATACAAGTGGCAGTTAAATGTGCTGTTTGGGTGGAGAAGTAAGAAAGGAACTTAAGTCGATAAACTGTCTCAGTGATGAGAGCTACACAGCAATATCTTTATTATGTGACTATAGCTTTAGCAACTATGGGCTAATGGTCATACAAACCAACAAAAGCTGTGTGTTGACATAACTTGACAGTGAACAAATTAGTGTGTGACATTGCTTTTAAATTAAACCTTTTTCAAAAGTTGCTCAGCCCATCTCTAAAGGAATGGGTAGGAAGAGAAGTGAAAGTATTCAGTTGCCAATATACAATATCACAAAAAGCTGAATGAAAAATACACCTCTTTGTGAAACCTCATCCTCCGCAATACAGTCAAAGCCCAGAAGCTCATCATCACTCCTCCGACCCAACACCTACACTTACAGAAGGCTGACTCTCACAAAGCCTCACCCACCATTTTCCACATCAGTTCTGAAACATTTGAGCCATGTGAACATTTGAACTTTTCTGGCATCACAGGGTTTTAAATCTAACTGGTTTAAAATCTAACTGGGGTCAAAGCCTCTAAGGGTATATGTACCAAAAGGATTTGGGGAAAGGCGGTGGGGTCAGAAAAGAAGGACGCAGTGGAACACACATTTTTTCGTCATGCTCTTAAACATTTTTTATCCATTTGTTTTTTGTTGATACCCATATTCTTTTTAAACACGGTCAAAACTATCTTTGGTATAGTTTCTTTCCAATTGGCACTTGTATCACATAAGTTGTTGGTGGTTCTCTCTTGAATCATAGAATGCCGCCTAATTGGCTTAAACTAAATTAATCTGGGGTTTAGTTTAGTTGCTGTAAATTAATAGCATTAACATAAATTGATTCAGGAAATTAAGGGAAATTAATTGTCTCGTGGCACACTTTTTTTTTTAATAGCATATGTTTTAATCTCTGGGCTTTGGAGAAGCTATTAAGTATTTTCGAATCAAAATGGGAGTCATTGGTGTTAAAGTCCAAGTCCACATTTTTTGTTTGATTTTTGTTTTCAAACATAGGATTGTCTAATTTGATTTGAATCACCCCAGATAAGTATTTAATTAAATATGTGTCTTACAAGGTGTTGTGCCCACCTTTATGTTTTTGTTGTTTGTTTTGAGCACTAGATGGCGCAATGGGTACAGGGTGTTTAGGTGACCTCACTGGCAAAGGTGCGGGTGATGGAGGCTGTGTGTGTGTGAACCACTGAAGGCTCTGTCCCCGAAGGATCGCAGGTTGGTGCGGGGGGCCAGAGTCTGAAGACCGCAGGTTCCGGGGTAGCGCATGTGGGAATTGTATTGATTTGATACAAGCAAGCCAGTGTTTCATTGTGTACTTTCAACTGGTCCGGCAAGTTCAGCATTCACTGTGATGTATATAAAATAAGACACTGATACCGTTTTCCTCAATGAACATTTATTGAACAGAACATCATGTGGAAAATCAGAGCAGGTCAAAAATATTGACCTGCAGGAGTTTAAAGCCTATTTAAAAACTCCTCGGAATCTTTCACAAGTCCTTCAGCCTTTGGTGCGCTTCCTCACTCATGTTCTTGGTGAGGTCATGAGAACAAAGTTCCATCTCACTGATAAGACAAGATGGTATAAAGAAGTCATATGTAATATTATAAAATCACATGCATCAGTATGGGCTCAGAACAGTCTCATAATACACACATGCGCACAGAAGGATTCACACTTGTATTTCATGATCCGCAAAAGGATTCACACTTGTGTTTCCGGACATGCACACACAAATGTATTCCGTTTCATATACATGTAAATAAAATCCAAATACAGAAAAAAGTTTTACATATGTATTTTTGATCCTCACATATTTGTTTTCCATTTAAATCCCCTGAACCTGCAACACAAACAGCTTTCTGGGCACGGATCGCTGTGCATTCGTGTGTGGGTTTTTTGCAAGCGGCAAACTGTGGGGTAGAGCCGGGAAGCCAATACGGAAGTGCCACACACTGCAGATCATATATTGGCCGATAGGCGATGGCTGCAGAAAGGAGCAATTTCCATAGACCCCATGTTAAGATGCCCAATTTTACAGCAGAAAAAAACATGTTTCTACCCCTGGCTCCATACATTTTATTATTGATATAGTTAGATTCCACCTTCATGATTATGGATCTGTGAGTGAATTGTTTTCTAACGCGACCCTTTTATTTATTTTAGGTCTCAAAGTTTGTGCATAAATTAGGGCGTGGTCACATTGAGTGACGGCTCTGTGAAGTGACTGTCACTGTTAGCTTCTTGTCACTCTGCTACCTGCTCCGTGAAGCTAGCTATAGGGACTCTGCCTGCTCAGCTCATCCAGCAAACACAACTTGTAGCCGGCCGAGGTTGTTTGTTCTTCATGCTTATATATCGGACTATTGTGACTCGCTCTGCGGTTAAAACAGACGGTGCATGAATGCGGTAAGTGAAATTTGAGTGCTTTATTTATGTGTTAATGATTTTAATCAGCTACGTAATGAATGGTAAGGCTTGGGTTAGCATGTAAGCTAGTGGTAGCTACATCGGTGCTAACGATGCTAATCGTAGCCTCCAAGTTAAAATCATAGACTGTATATATAAAGGTTACAACGAAATAGACAAGTGTTAAGTGGGATAATACTGTTGAACAAACGGCTTCTGTTTGAGGTTGATAAAATAAGGTTAC